CATTGCGGAGCCGGCGGGGAAAGCCATAGGAGCTTACATCAACTGCAGCGAAAAGGCGGTCCAGCATGGGCTATGCTTGGTTGGTGCACCTCCTGAGAAGCGGTTGAGTTTGTCGCTACTGACGCTTCATCTCTGTGGCCTCCCATATACAACGGTGTCGCTACATAGATGCATTCTTGGGGCCTGGGTTTCTATGCTCATGTTTAGGCGGCCCATGATGAACTTGCTGAACAGGTCTTTTGCTCTAGTCAATTCCTATCTGGCTTGGGATGATGCTTGCCTCATTCCGCTGCCTAGAGAAGTGGCATGTGAACTTGTGCTGGTTGCTGTTCTTGCTCCCCTGACGCAGACCGACATTGCGGTTCCCTTCTCTCCAACAATATTTGCAACAGATGCCTCCGACAGCAGAGGAGCTATTTGCAGTACAGAGGCTACACCGGAGTTAGCACAGCTGCTTAGCAAACATTGCAAAACGAAGGGGGCTTACACTAGGTTGCAATCAGAGTGGACAACCTTGAAGAGGAGAGTCTTTGCAGAGGATGCTATCGAGGAGGAGCAGGCTCAAACGTCAGTGCAGAAGCCCCTAGCGTTCACGTTCAGTTTTATTGAGGTTTTTGCTGGAGCTGCCAGAGTCACCAAATGCATGAGCAATCTTGGTGTTTCTTGCGGTCCTCCTTTGGACCTCTCCTTTTCATCGGAGTACAACCTGAAGAGCACGCATGTCTTGGAATGGTTATTTCATCTCATTGAGGAGGGTTCTTTGAAGGGCCTGATGATTGAACCTCCATGCACCACTTTCTCAATCATGAGGAGACCGGCTTTGCGAGACTCTTCACACCCGTTTGGCTTCCATCCTCATGAAGAGAAGACGCAGGACGGGAACATACTGGCCCAAAGAGGTTTGCAGCTGATGTGGAAGGCTGGTGTTCATGGTGCATCGGCCATGTTTGAGAGGCCCTTCACGGCCAAGTCAAAGCACTTGCCTTCATACAAAGCTGTTGTAGCCCTCTCGAATGCGACCGAGATCAGGTGTGATTCGTGCCAATTTGGCTCCCCTCATCAAAAGTCCTTTGCTCTTCTTGGCATCAATCTTGACATGGCCCCCCTGAATCGAAGATGCAGAGGTCAGTGCCGTCATATCCCCGTACAGGGGGTTTACACGAAGTCGTCAGCTATCTATACAGAGGAGCTCGCGCAGACTATAGCGGAGGTCTTCTTCCAGAGCATCCAGTGCTCCTTCGAAGAGGACGAGGAGGCTGCTGTGCCCGTGTCCGGCCTTGAAAACCAGTTGGTTAATGAGATCATGCTCGCCAGCCCCTGGACGGTAGAGAGCTCTTGGAAGTTCAAAAATGGTTCACACATCAACCTCCTGGAGATGAGATCAGTGGAGAGGCTCCTGGAGAAGAGATCAAAAAGGGGACCTTCCAGGATAGTATGCATGGTCGACTCCTATGTGACCCGCTGTGCTTTGGGCAAAGGCAGATCAGCCTCCATAGCTTTATCTTCAGTCATCCGGAGGATTGCTTCCACAATGGTGAGCTTTGGGCAGTATCTGGTCACCCCTTTTTGCCCTACTCGGCTAAACTGTGCAGATGATCCCACTCGAGATCGCGAGCTCAGGAGGCCTGTGAAGGGCCTAAACTGGCGAGCTTTGTCGGAAGAGGAGCTATGGGCCTTGGCATCCATTAGACTCACCAAGGGATGGGCTTCAAATTGGATTAGGCTGGTTCTGCTACTTATGGGACCCTACGTTGCTGAGCTTTCCAACAGAGCACTCTACAGATACTCTCGGCCTTCCTCGTCTCTCGCTTCCCCATGTCCTTCCACAGATGGGCGCACCTTTCCACAGATTCACACTGGCGAAAGATTGGACTTCGATCAGACTTTGGGCTTCCCGGGGGAAGGGCCTGTAATTGGCCTTTCCTCGCCTTGGGTTTGGGCATTCAGCTCCAATGTTTTCCCTGGTGTCCCGGTTGACTTCGACGGACCTCCTCCTCATTTCGCCTTCCCGGCACGGCCTCCTGGGCTTTTCTGCTGGCGCTGGGGTCCTTGCTGGGTGCTGGGTGCGGTAGTGATTTTCCAGGGTTTACCGGGCGCAAACGCCATGGAGCCGCAAACAACTGCCGATCACGCTCGTGCAGCACTCAGAAGATCCAGGCCAGTGCTGCCTGAAGGCAGACCCACTCTGGATAGGACAAACAAATTGAGAGAAAGGTACTGGGAACAATTTTTAGGCTGGCTGGAAATTGAGGGCATAGATTTTTCTGCTCTTTTGGCTGATCATAGCCATTACATTGATGAGATAAACACGGTCCTGACAGCCTTTGGTCGCGCCCTGTATAGGGCAGGAAGACCATACAACCAGTATGCAGAAACAATAAACTGCCTCACCTCCAAAAAGCCTGCGCTGAGACGGTGGATGCAGGGAAGCTGGAACTTAGCGTTCCAATGGATGCAAGCGGAACCAACAGCTCATCATGTAGCCATGCCCTGGCAGGTTTTACTGGCGATGACAACAGTATGCCTAATGTGGGGGTGGCTTCCGCTCGCTGGAGCTTTGGGTTTGATGTGGGGAGCACTGCTTCGGCCGGGCGAATTCCTGAACGCACTTAGGCTGGACCTGCTCCTGCCCCGCGACGTGGAACAAACTATATCCTTCGGGATCTTGGCGATCAAAGAGCCAAAAACACGCCATACTGGTGCAAAACACCAAGCTGGAAAGATTGATGTGCCCGATCTGCTAGCTGTAGTTGACCTGGCATTTGGCGACTATGAAGGTGGACGCCGCCTCTGGGGACACTCTGGCCAAACGTTGAGGTCAAGGTTTCAGGCTGTGTTAGCGGCCCTCCGGCTACCTACGGTGAGGGCTGGAGCGCTTAAACCGCTCGACCCAGGTTCTCTTAGAGCTGGTGGAGCAACGTGGCATTTGCAATGCACCGAAGACGGCGAGTACTGTCGTCGCAAGGGTCGCTGGTTGTCACAAAAAGTTATGGAAGTCTATGTTCAAGAAACCACTGCCCTCCTTTACCTCAAGAAGATCGATCCCAGCGCACGTGATCTGATTCTGGCTATGGCAGGTTTGTTCCCTCGCATTTTGGAACTTTGTCAAACATACAAAGCATTGCACCTCCCCTCCGTGTTGTGGTGCAACCTCCTGAAGACCGAAGCTTGGACGTGAAGGGGACTACGGGTGTCAAGCAGAGGTCAAAACAGACCCTCTGCCTGTGAACCTCGA